GCCCCCGTTCATGGCCATCGCTGCCGCCAGGGCACGTGGCTGGTTTTCCTGTCATCCCGTATCCCACACCCCTGATTGTTTTATACTGGCACCTGGTCCCAGTTTAATACAGCTGCTATTTCCCCGAGGCTCTGGAAACCTCCCCTGGAAGCTGCTGGAGGCAGTCATAAGGGGTGGCTGTAGAGTCAGGTGGGAGCCTGCGGGCTGGTGACCATTGGTGCTTGGGGTGCTCTGTCCTGCAGCCTTGGGGGCTGCCAGCATCCCCCCGTGAGGAGCAGCCACTGGAGAGGAGGTACCAGGGAAAAGCAGTACAAACATCTGCTGAGCAACTGTCCTGAGGAGATACACAAACTTCATCTGCCATATGATTATTACATGCTTAAGGGCAGGCAGCCCAGGCTCTAGGTGTTATCAAGCTTCTAAATTCACCTGTTCTTGTCTTTGCAGTGTCAGATTACACACCTTGCATGTGGGTGTACCCACGAAGCAGGTAAGAAGCAGTCCCCTCCTGGCTGGGTGCTCAGGCCAGTGCCCCATGTCTCTTGAGAGGGCTCGGTGGGGGATTTACACCAAGCAGTGAGTCAGTGTAGAGGATGACACTGTGATAAACACTTGAGGGGAAATTATGTCCGGTTTTGCCCTTGCCTCAGCTTCTGAAAAACATCCAACCATCCTGCCCCTTTAAAATGGAAGCTGTGACTCTTTGCTTTAGAAGGAATTGATCTCAAAAGGAATTAATCTCCCTTAAGCAATTAGTGTGTGAATGCTCAGACAATGCAGGGGAGGTGTTTCTGTGTCTGGCTGAAGCAAGGCCTTGCTGGGAAGCATGAACAGGCCCAAACAACAAAGGCTCCACCAGGGCTGTCTTGTCAGTGAGGTGGTTTAACCCCTTTAAGTTGCAGAGCTGCTGAAGGTACATCCTGAGTGAGGACGCCTGTCTGTCTAGAGCTTTTGCCACGATAAATGTAATCTTTCTTTTTGTAATTGGAAAAAGTACAAAAAAACATTGCCAAGTGAGTTGAGAGACCTTATCTGAAGGTATGTGTGCCTCATTCCTTGGCTGGATCATGATGCAAGCTTTGCACAGCACTGTGGGACACTAGGGCCATGTGCACTATGTTGTGCTAGATTTGGCTGTGGCTGTGTGCTGGATCTGTGCCAGCAGCTGAGGAACAGCAAGGAGCCTGCTTGCAGAGATAGTGCCAGCTCTGCAACACAGCTAGGCTGGGGGGAACCTCTGTGTGCTAATCCTTCACCCCCTTGCAAGGAAAACCCTCTGGGGACCCGCTTGGGACTAAAGAGCTTAAACTGGGTTTTGGCTCCTGAAATGACGTCTGCCTTCCTGATCGTGTCCTGTCTTGAACTGGTGGCAGGGAGCCAAAGTCCTACAGGCAGCTGCCTCTGTGGGATCTCAGCAGGAGCTGTGTTTGCAGCTCTGTGGTCCAAGTTAGGCGTGACAGGCATCTTATGCAGTGACGATGCTGTAACAGCAGCCTGCCATTTCAGGGATCTCTGTGCTGCTGAGCTCTCTCACAAGCATATGCCAGGGCTTGGCATCTTACTAGCAGCTTTAGCCCCATCAGAGAAACCACAGGTGTGTCCCCACAGCACAGATTGTTTTCTGTTGGCAAGTATCTCTCTCTGCTGGTGTCCTTGCTCTTCTCTAGGGCCACGCTGTTGCATTGCCAGGTGGTATGGGGCAGGGAAGCAATGCCTCAGGCTTCCACCTTCTGTGTTTTTTCCATGGTGGAGCACTTCCACAGCTGCCTGCACAGTGTGGTTGTTCACCAGCTGGCTGTGGGTAGGCACCTGTAGCCCCAGTGGGTGGGTATGGGCTTGGTCTGTGACATCAAGGAGTTGTGTAACACACTTGTGGCACTGGATTATCTTGTTCTCCTCTCTGTACTAATGCTCATAAAGTACTGGGACTTCGGGCCTCAAAAGTGATACCTGATCTTCATGAAAGGTTTTGGTCTGTTGTGTATTCAGTAAAAACATTTCCTGGAGCTGTTCCTAGGGCAGAGACTATGTACGTTCCTGTGTCTATACAGCATCTAGGACCTCTGTGCTAAATGGACTGAAATAAAATGTGCTCCTAAAGCCATGTGGAAACACAGAGCTGTCTCCATGGTGCCTTTTACTAAACCATGACGTGGTGATAACAGGTGTTTGTTCACCTGGGCTCCCATAGGCTGGGAGATCATCCTTCTTGTACCTGTTTTAGGGTATGTTATTGACCAGAAAAGTTCCTTCCTACTCTCCAGCCATCAATGGAGGCAGAATTGCAAATTTGTGTCTCTGCAGTCCAAGAGAAAACACAACAATTCATGGGTCTGTGAGTTTGCCAGATTAAATGGGTGGAAAGTACTTGAAGAGAGAGGTCCTTAAACACACTCTCTCAAGGGAAAGGAGGCAAAAGCACAGGGCTTTGAGAGTGTTTGTATGGCTTTGAGTACAGCAGTAGCTTCTTTATGCTTTGTTGGTTTAACTGTATGGTTAATGGCATGTTTGTCCTTTTCTGTAACTTTGGCAGGATAGAGGTACTTGCAGACCCCAAGCCAGTCTTCTGCCAAGCCAGCAGTCCCACGTAAGTAGATGGTCAAACAGACTTGCTCAGGGGCTGGGGACTGATGGGACTCAGCCAGAGCAGACCCTTGGCCATTGTCTTGCTACTCCTTTCCCCTCTGCCCCTAGTAAAGCAGACTGAGATGTTCCATACTTGAAGGGCTGCCTTCAGTTTGCTCTTTCAAGTTGTCAGTCAAAACCCTGGGCTTGACCCGAGCCTTGCCTTTGTTGCCCCATCTGATCTGAGCTGCCCAGCTGAGATGTTGTGGGGTAGGATGGTGTGTGGTGCAAGGTGACCAGAGCATGGGAGCCAGGATGCTCTGTCCTGGAGGATACAGCCCAGCTTTAGGAACAGAGTTGCTGTCTATGTGATGTGATCAAACTACAGCTTGGCAAGCCAGGGCAACAGTCTCTTGATAACATCTCTTCTCCATTATCTGTATGGGTCTTGAATAAAGGCTCCACAAACCCATTGCCCTGCTGTTCCCTGTCCCAACTACCCTGTACCCTCTCCCATCATGGCCTCTCAGTGAGGGATGAGCAACTCCAAATTTGCCCTGGGCACAGGAGAGTAACCACTAACCTCCTATAAAACCTCACCCACTTTCCATGGCACACCCTGACTGTAAAGTTGTTACTATTTTCACTGTCATACCTGTGGTATAGTTGGGTGGTAATGGTGAGGCAGAAGAAATGCAGTGATGAAACTCCTCCAGGGGTTTTAGAGATGTAATGAAAGGACCCTCTGCATATCCACTGGTAACTGAAACCTATCACTTTAAGAATCTTTTCCTTTTAGTTGACAACAACCAGCAGGAGAGTGTTGGGAAATTCAGAGCCACAGAAGGAGAATGCTCAGGGGCTGCTAGTGGCACTTTGCAGGTGTGGGGAGCTATAGGGTGGAGGGGTGTGTGTGTCTGTTCCATCCTAGGCAGGGAAGGATAGCCCCAGCAAACACATTTCACACTTGTGCCTGTTACTAAAATTTGACAACCTTGCTGTTCATGCTAGGCTTGTATGGGGAAACCAAGAGACAATATGGAGCCTCACACCTGGTGCTATGACAGCTCGACCGTCTGCAAGAACCTTGTATCTGTGCAAGCCCAAGAAAGATTTTACCAAGTATGGCCGCAGGTCAGTGACGTGGTAGCAGATCTTGGAGAAGGAGGCAGCTCAGAGCATAATTTCTAGGGAAGTATTCTGGCTCCCAGGGAAAGGGGAGATGCCATCTTCCAATTAATCCTCTGCTGTCACTGCATGGTGTAAAACATAGGTCATGTTTTGGAATTGAAATGAAAATTTATGTAAAAAGTATAAATTACAGTGGTGCTGCATTACTTGAAACAAGTAATTTGTAGCTCTTTTGGAGAAGATGAAATTCTTTTGGAGTCAAAATGGTGGTTATTAGTCTGTGAGAAGTCTTAGCAATGAGAATGGAGATGAAACTATGTTGCACTCCTGGCTTTCCTCTACCTGAAGGAATGTCAAGATATGCATGTCTGTAGTTTTCTCCCCTCTGCCACTATCACCAATTATGAGCTCTCATCCTCCTGAGAGCTGCTGTCTCTTGCTAAAGGTGTCCATACAACAGCACTTCCTGCCTTTTTTCTTACCTCTTCTTCCTTCTTCCCTGGTGATGACAGGCATATTCCAACAGTTATGCTTGTTTGAAAGCTGGATGAACAAGGCACTAGGAGAGACACCAAGATGAAAGGAGCTACAAGGGCACAAGGTGCTATCAAGCCATTGTAAAAAAGAGGTTCCAAATTGGCAGAGCTGACCAACATAAACGCTGCCATGTGTTGTGGAACAGCTTCAGGAAAAGCCTAGACTTTGAAAGCAGTGCACCGAGAGTGCTTAAAAGAGGACTCTTCAGATGCCAACAGCATTTAAAGTGAGGAAATCTCGGGTGTAAATACCTGTTTGTTCATGGCTTTTCCATGTGCACCAGTGCCAAATTTCGTTCATGCAGCGGGCATGGATGTTTAACCAGACTTAGGTTACCATCTGCAAGGATCATGTTCTCTGTCAGTTGCCTTTTGCTAGCTCTTCTGTACTCCTCCTCAAAAATTTTTCTTTCTGTACAGTTGCAGACCAGTAATCGGTGGGAATCCCCTGCTACCAAAGTATGGCTACCCTTCTGAACGGCTGCTGAAGTTGTCTGAGCCTAAAAAATTCCTCCCTGCTTACCTGGAACAAAGGTGAGAGGCTAGAAAGCCTATAGGGTGCTATAGGTAGAGCTTTGGGTCCTGTAGCATCAGTGGTGTCTAATAAATGCAGGAACAGAGGATGGGTTAACAGAGGGCAAAAATGCAGAGCAGGGTCTCTGCTGGGATTAGAACTTCTGGATTCTCTCATGGGATGAGTTCTACACTGGAAATGCCCACCATATAAAGCTGCCTTCTGCTGCAGCAAAATGTGAGTCTTAGAGAACCCAGCTGCTGCCAGATTGGAGAACATCTGTGAATGGCAGTGCCATGACTCTGTGCTTCCAGATCCCGTGATACCCCGGAGTGGCCTGTGTCCCTGGCTGCACAGAACTACAATGCCTCCAAGCGGATACTGCAGCTTGCCCAGCCAAAGGGGCTGCACCCAGACTTCATGCCCCCCAGAGAGGTGAGGAGGAGGTTCAGTGAGATTTGGAGGGTGCAGGGATGCAGCAAACTGTCCTGTGTCCCACCCCTGGATGTGCCCAGTGTGTGGAGGGGAGAAGCTGCCCGGTTCTGCTGCAGTTTATGGCACTGGAAGAAACTGCCTTTTCAGAGAAGAATTGTTGTCTTTGCAAATCTCCTGCTGGGGGACAAAAACCAGCCAGGTTGGAGCAGCCTAGTATAGCAGGAGAGCCAAGGGAGGCATCTGGGCTGCATCCTCTGGGAAAGTGGAGAAACCTGACAGAAATGGCATGTTTAGCTCTTAGGGAGTAGTCATGTTTGTAGCTGGGCAGCTGTGCTCCTATCTGAGTACACAGGGGGCATGAGATTGCAACTACTATGTGTATTTTAACTGCATTTTGCCAGAAGCCTGATTTATATTTCTGAGCTTGTTCCTTTTAGGTGGGTCATTGCTTTGGCAGGGGTGAAAGGGCTTGGAGCAATCTCAGATTACACTAATTTCCATGGCAAAGACTAGGTTTTCTGGATGCTGCCTCTGGGGCTGGGAAATGGGGGTCTGGGCTGGAGCAGAACTGGGCAACAGTAACCCTGTGAAAAATTTTGGAAGAAGTCCCCTGCTGGAGAAGTAATCATGTTTTCTGTAGGAATGCAGTTAACCATAGCAGCAAATTTACCCTGAAATCTGAATGTCTCTCCTTAGCAGGGAAGTTTGATTTGGGCAGGAAGATGAATATAAAAAACATGGAAGGAATTTCTCTGTACTTTTACCTGACTACATAGGCTTTCATTACAGGCACTCCCCTCCTGGCTCTGAGTGGGCAACAGCTGGGGAATACGTAGCACCAAAATGACTTAATTGTTCAGGTGGAAAAAGTAATGGATTCTGGAAAATTCAGAGTGACCATGTATGCAGAGGGAGGGTGCTGGGATGTTCATCCCTGTGGAGAGGGAGCATGTCCCTGTGGGCTGCTGTACAAGCTCTGTGTCTGCACGTCCCTCCCCCATTCTGGGTCCGTGCAGGTGCCAACCCAGGTTTCCAGCTTAGCAGTCAAGGCCAGTGCATCGACGCGGGTGCAGAAGCTGGCAGTGCCCTTGATCAGGGAGATGACCTGCTGCAGTACACACACCAAACCTGGTGTTATCATGGCTCCGGTAAGGCAGCATCACCCCACATGGATGGGACTTCTGGCAGAGGAGTGGGCACAGGTGCTCAGTCGCTTGTGGCTCTCTTCATGTCAGCCCTGGATGTGCTGCCCTCCATGAGGCTGGCATAGCTGCTTCCTGAGCTGGAAAGCAGGGCTTGTGCTCCATTCAGAGCATGAACTGACTCCCAACACATATCCCCAGAGAACGGCAGAGCTGTGCCTAACCTGCACTTGTAGGAATGGGGATAGGTGGACAAGTGTCTAACTGGGATCTCCAGTGCTGGGGGTGGGTTGGACAAAGGGCTCTGAGTAACAGGAGGCTGGAGGGCAGGTTGTGGGACTGACGAGGCAGTGATTTCTTCTTCTGCAGTTTGCCTGGTGCCAAACACAGCTGAGGATATGATTGTGTCCCATCTGTGTGCGGTCAGTGCCTGTGAACCTGGAAACTCTGAGTTGGTTGCAGGCTGAGCACCCTTGAATGCCAGGAGCATCTCTAAAGGCCTTCCTCCCCATTCTGCCACAGATTTCCACCTCACCTCGGAGGATAGTTGCAAGCCCTCGAACCATTGAGCTGTCGAAGCCCAAACAACTCCACCCGAACTTCATGCCAGCGCGGGATCCCGAGTGGCCTGTCACAGAGGCTGCCAAGCGTGCAGTGCCTACTAAAAGAATTCTGGGGCTGGCCCAGCCTTCCTCAAGGTAGGTACTGCTTCCCTGTCCCGGGGAAACGATCAGCTGCCAGCCCATTTTGTGTGGCTCATGGCACCTTGTTCATTTGTGTTTGGCCAGAGAGATTAGGCCAAGATTGGGAAGTGCTCTTCCACTTCCAAAATGCCTGAGTTTTATATGTTTGGGTGAGTTAATGCTACATGGATTGCAGTTTAAAAAACCATTTTGAGGTAGAATGAGTCAAAAGAGAAGAAACAGGAACTCTTTAATTCCAGCAGAATTACTGGTTGGGACTTGTTATTAATTCCAACTATAAAAAGCAACCATCTGGCAAAGAGCAGAGTGTAATACACTCCTGTTGCCCAGCATGTTGCAGCTGACCTCAGCCCAGTCTGCAGGAAGTGCTGGGAGGATGTTTCACAGAGGGTGGGGGAATGCCTGGCTGTAGTGGCTGTGAGAGATACTCCTCTCCTGACGACAGCATTGGAGGTGTGATGCCTTTTGTCCTGCCTTGACAGGGAAGGGCAGGCTTAGGTGAAGGTGTGGGAGCTCACAGGCAGCTGGCAGGTGGCCTTGCTGCAGTCAGGATTGACTATTCCGACCCTCTCTCCTCCAGACCTCGTGTGACTGCACTCGACCCAGAGGCATTCAAAGTGAAAGAGAGTGCTCTGAAGGCGGTTTGTACTCCACGGCTCGCAGAACTGGCTCAACCAATTAGGCGCTAAGCTCCTGCCATCTGCCCACATCACCCCTTGGAACATCACTCTCTCGCTGTGCTCTGGCTGGAAAATCTCTTTGAACACAGTGCAGAGGCAGCACTCAGCTGGAACGCCTTCTGGGAGTTAAAATAAAGTCATCATTCCTTAAGAATAGTCATCAAGGAAAATGACAGAATCCAACTTAATGTGGGAAGACTCTCTCCCTAGGATTGGTTATGTCTGGAGTTTCTTTCTTGATTATTTTGCTGTAATAGTTTAAGAAGTAATGAAACAACTGCTGGGGGAAGGCAGCAAAGGAACTGCCCTTTCATGCAGGGAAGTGTGGCAAACTGAACTCAAAAGCACACACTAAGTTGATGCAACACAACTCCTGAATTTGGGTTTAAAATTTTTTGCTAAAGTTTTAGCAAAACTTTAGTTTAGCAAAACTTTTGAGTGTCAGTAAGAAGATCTTCTTACTGACACTTAGAAGTTTTATGCTTGTGACCGAAGTAGAAATGCAAAAGGCTACAATGTATCTTGAGTTGGCTTGGATTTGGGGCCTGTTTTCTCAAATGCCTGGAGAACAGGCAGGTCCAGTTACAAAGGTGGGTTAAAGCTGTGTGATTCAGATACTCAGTTGTGTGGCCCTGGGCAAAACAAGAGAGTTCTGCATTGGGATTTTTGGAGCCTAACTCAAAAAAGCAGAGTTACCCTCAGTGTAAGAGAGAAGGCAAGTTTCAAAGGCTAAGCAGAAAACGAGTATTGATGCTAGAGTGTGCAGACCAGATTCTGAGCTCCAGTCAGGTCTGTGGGTGAGTCAGTTTTGCAGCTGGATTGCAGGGGAACAACACAGCCTGTGCAGGGCATGACATAAAGGGAGAATGCTTTTATCTGCTTCCTACAGGGTCAGTGTGTTTTGCACTGGCTGCCCAACCACTGGCGACAGGCTGGAGATACTGAGGCAAGAGAGATGCTCACCAGTAAGGGACAAAAGCCACAAATGAAAGCATATGGCAGTTTCAGAGCCAATGTATTTTAATCTTCCCTTTGTTAAGCTGATTCTCCTTCCAAAGGAGTAGAGGCAGGTGACCACAAACCAGAAGGGGATTAATCAGAGGATCCATTAATTGATTCAGTAATCCACTAAGCAGAGGACTTTTGAAGCCTTTTGAACAAGATAAGGTCACTGGGAAATTGTGCTGGTTATTTTTAGACCAGGCATTGTTCTGTGCCAGGATGGATGAGAGTTTGGACTTTGTGCAAGAGCCCCAGTGCAACTGCATTCCTCAGGCTTGAGAATAGCCAGGGAAGACTGGGGTCTCCCCCTAAAACCGCCATGCTGTGGGGGAACCCCAGCACCACCAGCCTCTGCCACCCAGGGATTAGGAGGTCTGTGGGGTTGTGTGGGCTGCCATGCATGGACCCACAGGTGCCCTAGGAGATGAGGCTGCCCATGGCGGTCCCATGGCAAAGGGAAAACCCACTGTGCCCACTGAGGCTGCCTGGGAGAAGTGTTGCCCTTCCAGAGGAAGGAGTCTGCCTCCTGTAATGGGGGCAGGGAGCACAAGCAGGACAGAGCACAGCTCCTCTCATTTAAAAATGTTGGGTTTTTTTAATTGCACTGGGAAAAACTCAGAACAACCCATGAGTTCTTTCTCTTTGGTGACCTTTAACAAAAAGGTAAAAAAGGCATTCAGGGGTTACTTGGCTTCGTCTGATTGTGGTGTAGGCACTTGGTTTGCAGTATCCATAGCTGATTCAGGCCCATTGAGCCAAATCAGGTCACTTTAACAACACTATGGTTTTCCAGATGCCCTGCTCTCTGGATGATCTGCACCTTAAAGCTCACACACACACTTTGCCTCTGGAGATTGTAAAGAAAAAGAATCTTTATTTCTTCTTTCTATATTTGAACATATCTCATGGCAAAATTTCTGCAAGCCTGGAATAAGGGCATGAAATTGCCTTTTCTTGTGCAGCTGCTGTTAATGGGTTGGAATCACAAGATAGGTTATCAGCCATAAAAAGTCGTATACACACACATGTGTGTATATATATATATATATTTCTATATAGTGGGTTTTTTCTGGTTATGTACATGTTAAATAAGATTTATGTTAAATAGCAGAGTATTACTTTGTATCACAAAACCTATTGCAACAGAAGAGCCCCAAGAAAACCCACTGAAGAGCTTCACCATCCTTTATAAGAGGCAAGGGGATTGCAGCAGCATCCTCTAGTCCCTGACAGACCCGCTTTCTGAGGGCAGCCCTTCAGACTTCCTCCACTCCGCCAGGCGCTGCTTGAACCATTTCTGGAGAGGAAGAACAAAGCAGAGACTGAGTGCCCTGGGCTGAGCAAAGCCTCCACATCACTTTCCTAAAGGTGCAGATGTCAGCACGTGGGACGAGGTGAGGGGAACTCATGGTGCTGCTGCCTTGTACCAAGGTGCTGTTCCCAGGCAGTGCAGGCAGCCAGGATGGTTGCTCCTGACCCAACAGTCTTGTAACCTACATGTGCACCTCCTTCAAACTCATTTCTCTAGCTCACCTTAGACCTTGACAGCATGGGTGAGTCTTTTTTTTTACTGCTGTGAGCCCAGGTTTTTCTTGCAGAGTAAGAGATTGGTTGAGGAGCTAGATGGTGTCTGTTTAAATGACTGGAGAAGTCAAAAAATCCTTTGCAGGTTCCAAACTGACAGGAATTGAAAGCTCACCTGTTTCAGAAAGCATGAGAAGTACAGCACATTGGCTCTCCAAGAAATTTAAGAACAAATCTATTTTGAAAATTGTTTAAAAATCATCTTAGTTTTAAGGTAATATGCACATCTATGTTAGCACTATGTCTGCTGTAACTTAGCATCTGGAAGCCTACTCCAAAAGCTGCTGATGCCACTTCATGACAGCCACAATTTAAAATATTAGATGAAATGTATTTGGTTGAAGCAACCAAAGAAGAAAAGAAATACTGCTCATGTGCCGGAAGCACAGTTCAGCCTTTTCTTTGGCAATGTGCCTGTGATTCCTTTTGTTGCAGTTCATTTTGTTGCTATATTTGTTCATGGTTATTTTTGAAGCTATTATGCTCCATAATGATACAACCACAGTGCTCTCTATAAGTGCCTCTCACACTCACACTGCCTTTGACCACATCCATACGATTGACAGCCTTCTCTTAAAAATTTCACTTTCTGTCCTAAATCATGATCTCCTCTTTGCATCTCATCGTTACTGAATTTTTTATTAAAACGGCTGCTATTTCTAGATGATAAAACACTCCAGATGACAGGGGCAATGATTCCCTGTGTTCTACGCAATGCAGGCACTTTGCAGCTCACCACCCCAGCCTTGATCCTGTCCCTAACATGACCTCCATCTCCAGAGCACACTGGATTAGTGGGAAAAGATAGCTATCAGGGAGGATTTTAAGACACCTACAGAGGTGCCCTGGGCATATATGGCCTGTGTTTACAAGTTGCTGTAGGGGAAAAAAAGGATTAGTGCCATTTCTATGGAGAAAAAGGTATTTCAGGGGTACTGCCTCCTTGCTGCCTCAAACAAGCAGTGATTGATACCTGCCTGTCACCAAAGCACAGTCCACTCCAGCTGAGGACTATGTGTGCAATGGATGCTGTTCCAGCATCTTTCCCCGGGACAGGCTAAATGCTGACATTGCCAATTTGGCTTTGCTGAGGGAGAGCCAGGCTTGGCAGCTCTCTGCAAACTGCTGCTAACTTTCCAGTGGGATGGATTTCTTTTCTATACCCATAAATGCCGCCGTGGGTCCAGTGAACACCTACATCCCAATGAGCTGCACTGCCACCTGAAGGAACTGGGAAGAAGCTGTTTGCTTCTGAAGCCCACGGTAGCCTGCAGGTAGCCAGCTGGATCACAGGGCTTGGTGGCATTCCCAGGCAGTGGCAGCCTGTCCCTGTGGAGGGATATTTGGAGGCCTCTATGTCTCCTGGAGAGGCTGACAGACTTGCCTGACTTCGGGGCTTTGGGACGCTGAGGGGGGGAAGGTGCACAGCCTGAGCATGTCCCACAGCACATCCCGCAGGAATTGCATCTACCCTCTATCTGTTTTAAAATGACAGTAGTTTCTTCAGACATTAAAACCGGCAGTAGTTTGTGCATCCAAGACTACCAGAAATGGTTTGGAAGAACAGCATGCACGGGTTGTAAATTCAGGAGCAGAAACACGTGGAGTGCAGGAAGGATGTGGGGTACAGGGAGGTGCTGTGTTGCATTAGAGCTCTCTGGGTGCAGTTAGGATGTGCTGGGGGTTGCAGAGGTGCAGAGGAGACCTGTGGGTGCAGTGAGGAGAGTGCAGGGTGCACGGTGGTGCAGGGAGCACACTCAGGGAGCGCAAGGGGCACAGGGGAGTGCAGGCGTGTGGGGGGAGCATGAGAAGGGCAGGGGCTGCTGTAGGAAGCACTGGGGGGACAGACAGGTGTATGTTAGACCAGGGCAGGCAGGAGATGCGGGGACAGAGGCATGCAGGGGGAGCGGGGCTGGTGCCAGGGGCAGGATGAGGGGCATGCACTCACCAGAGTCTGCTCCTCGGAGAGCCCGGTCTCAGCAGCGATGAGGCACAGTGTGGTGGGGTCAGGATGCTTATTCACCTTGCAGAAGTGGTATTCCAGGACCTCCAGCTGCTCCTCAGTGGGAATCACTGGCTTTTCCATGGCCATCTCCTCCTGGGGCAGGGCTATGGGGCCAGGCACTGTTGAGAGGGGCTGGTGTCATTGCTCAAGCTGGGAGTGGCCAGTGGGGGCCACACTTGCTGAGCCCCAGATTTGCCGTCCGTATCCCCACCAACCTCCCCCCCGCCCGGCCCCAGCTGTGGCCTCTGGCTGCAGCAGGGCTCAACTCCCTTCCCAAAGGCATGCCAGGCAGCTCAGCTGGGAGCACCAGCCCCCAGCAACTCCTGTCTCGTTTCCTCACTGCAGCGAGCAGAGCACACGGCAGCAATGCCCAGCGCTGAGCTGTCTCACCATCCTCAGCTGGCAGGAAGCTGCAGGCTGCTCAGCACTCCCCTGGTGCTGTATTTATAGCCAGTGTCACTCCCATGGGAACGATTCCTGTTTACAGCCCTATTTAGGCCTGGGCGTCACTTAGGAGTGATGTCACAGCAATGGGCATGTTCAGGGGGTTAATTTAAAGACATTCGTTAGAAAACATTATTTATCCTCTGGGTGGAGGGAGAATATCTGATATCTAAACTAGTGGATGTTGCTTATTTATTTTTCCCCTGCTTCCCAGTGATCAGGCAAGTTTGTGCAAAGGAATGATAAAAAAGAGCATACACGATCTTCTGGGAGCATGGTCTTTGATCCAGAAACCACGCTGTTTCCCCTCCTCAGGATCAGTGTCCTGGTCCTTCTCTTAGCACTGTGGCCAGATATCACATAATGCTGGCCATGAGAAGGTGAGTGCACTGTTTTAAGAAATATTTAATGTTACCACAAACATTAACAGTTAGTCCTATTGCTCCTGAGCATCACTGAACTGGTTAGTTGATTGGTTGGGTTTTGGTGTGCAAGTGTTCAAATCCTCAAGGACTGCACCCAGTGCATGTCTGTTGCTCAAGCACTTGCTGCCTCTGACTGGGGTCAGTCCTAGGTGCTCCCAGCAAAGGCAGCACCAAGAAGCCCATGTTTTCCTCCAGAGCTACCCTTGTCCCACTTGTGCTTTGCATAATCTCTGGAAGATTTGGCCCAAAAGAACAAGCAAAGCAAATGCATCTTGGCTAAGTCCCACACCTCTCTTCTGCTGGGCTTCAGGTTTGCTTTCACATGGCAGAGGGTCGAGCTTGCTAAATCAGTCAACTAAAACACGTGGCACTGACCCCACACAGCATGTACAAGTCCCTTGATGCTGAATCACTGTGGTGTTTTTGAAACCAGGCTGTGGGGTATTGGCTGGGGAGGAGCTGGTTGCAAAATGTGGCCTTTCTTGATCTGCTCTCCTGCTGTCCCAGTTGCCTTGCCCATCTCTGCCAGGTTGGCTGGTTGGTGTTGCTGGTTCTCCAGTGCTGCTAGGAGCCCTTGGCCCTTCTTGGGATTCCTGAGGGCCATCTGCTGCAGACCTGCCCTGCTTCCACACTGCGGTCCAGCTTTTCTTTCCCTTTGGCTCTGGAGTATAATCCTGGAACATCCATCATGCTGCACTCCCACTGCACAGGTTTGAACCCAACTGCTTTCTTGGTTGGCTGGTAACTCACCTTTAGGTACCCTGGGGTACTGAATGCCCCAGAGCTTTCTCTTGCTGACAGAACTGCTAGGATGGAGCTCAGCTTCAAAACTGTCTTGCAGCTTGTGAAGAGCCAGGCACAGTGAGAGGCTGGAGAGATCCTCTTCTTTGAACTTTACCTCATAAAACAAAGATCCCCCTGAGCCTCCTCTGCAGAAAGTGCTTTGACTAATAAAAGAATCCTTTGGTATTTGAGTAGGGGCTTATAAATAGACCAGGGCTGGTTGTGAAACAGCCCACTCCACTTGAGTCACTTGGTAAATACGGATTGTAACACAGAGGTTGTGTAACACTGGAGCACCTCTGAGGGCCATAGAGTGCTGGTAGACAGTACAGACAGTCTGACCCACCAGCCCTGGGTGGACTGAGGAAAGACCATCTCTAACCCCAGGGACTGCAAGCCAAGCTGGCCTTGTCTGCGGTGCGTTGCAGCTGCCTGGGCTTCGTGGAGTCAGCTCTGTTCAGAGGCATCCATATAGGAAGGGGGCATCATAATTCAGTTCCTCATTCATGTGAGGTAGTAGGAGTCTGCTGAATGCTGCTCACCTACCTTAGATGTTTGTAGACCTCTGGAAAAGATGCAGGGGTAGAAGGAGATCCCCTGGACTTGAGGTGCTGATCTACAGCACTGTGGCTGCCAAGCTCTCCATGAGGCCAAAATGCAGATGAGGCCAAGCTCAGGCCACAAGTCCTGCCTCTTCTTTTTTCAGCACACAACTGAGCCACCTGCCCTTCCCACAGAAAGCCCAGCCACAAAGGGATCCTCATCACCTCTAGATCATGCATCCAGCCCGGGCCACCAGCAGCAACATGCCTTGGCAGCTCATAAATCACTGTTTGCAGCCTGCTGCATTCATGTACATTGATGTGAGTGCATGGATTTGCATAGGGAGCTCATGCTTCACCTTTCATGTTCCACCTGCACAGCTATTTCTGCTTCTGATTATCTCCAGGTTCCTGAGGCGTTTCCCCACAGGACACAGTATCTTCTACCTGCTGGCAGCTTGGGGTGCCTCAGCATGTACGATGTGATGCCTGATGGCTTTTCTTTATGTCCCCTCTACCTTTGCTCTGGAAGGAGTACAGTTTTTACCTCTCAAGGTTGTGAGATGGGTTGCAGGAAAAGGCAAAATCCCCGGGGCTCCTGGAGGGCTTTGCAGGTCTCCCCACATCACTCCACGATGTCCTGAGGCTTTCAGGAGCCATATGACCCCTGTGCAGCATATGGCCTCTAGCACTTGGCACCTCATATATTTAGAGGTATATGACAGGACTCCAGGGCACCAGGAGCACCTAAATGGCCAGACTGGCCCGATTGAGACCACTAATCACCTGCCCACTTCTTAAATGGAGCTTTGTTTAAGCCCAGGCATGCAGCTGGGCTTCAGGCTGTCCAACATCTCTCCCTGGACAGGAAAGGTGATTGGCTCACTTATATTTCTTTAAGCCTGGCAGAAATATGGAGACTCACAGCTGTTTGGCTTAGCTGCTGAAAAGCACACTTCTTACTGCTTTTTTCCTCTTAAATTTTTGACAACATTTTAAAAAATGCCTTTTCAGTGCAAAGAATGTTAGCCATCCAGCAGGGCTGTGGGGCTGCAGTTGTTATTCAGCTGGGGTTTACTCACCCAGGCAGAAATGACAATGCCAGATGCACTGTCACAGGGAAGCCACCACACCTGCTCTGTCCTAAGCGTCAAGCTAAGGACCCCTGGGGAATTCACACTTGGCTCTGACTGTGGTGGTTTTAGGCAGAGCGATGTGAGAGCAGAAGCTTGCAAGTGGGCCTGGGCTGTGGGCAGCTCCAGCCAGCATTGCTATGTACCTGACAGCACCTGGTGCTCTTAGTGTGGCTGATAGGGCATTAAAATGCACCTCCAGGGCCATTTTGGAGTGAGCAGACAAAAACTAATGGCTGATGGACACCAGTTGCAGCAAGAGAAAGTCTTATTATAAATATATAGTACTCTGCCCATGTCCTGTGGTTGCACCCAGCTCCCCAGAAACACCCTGGGGTTACTAGCAGGACTTCTAGCTCTGGCCTGAAATGGGCAAGGACATCTTTCTGTGTCCCAGCATGCTTGTCCAGCACTGCTAGTGCAGTCAGCATTTAGAATCCTGGCAGAAATTTGCCACTTTTCCAGAAAAGACATGATCTCTGTTTGCTCAGCTTTGCTTTTTTGAACAGTAGTCACAATAGCTGGCTGGCTGTGCAGCTTTCTAACGATTTACTGCACCCAAAGCTCCTGGAAATCTCTCTGAGCAGTAGCTCCTGCCAAGCTGATGGGGCTCCATAGCCTCTGCTGGGCTTCTTGACCCCTTTCCCAGTGCTCCCACTGTCACGCTGGGATGTGACTGGAGGCATCTGCATCTGGTTTTAGCTTGCAGCTATTTCCTGCCACTACAGGGATCAAAATAGCAGTTCTCAATGCAAACGAGCCCTCTTACCCTCCCTTGCTCTGCTGCAGAGCCGTGTCCTGTCCTGAGCTTTGCTCATCCTCCTGCTGTGGGGTGGCTGTGGATAACATCAGCCAGCATGGCGCACAGGATAAGGTGGGACAGAGGCTTTAAAAATAAACCGGGCCCTGCCATAAATAAGGAAAAAACACCTGTCATGCATCCTGTAAACTACCCGTCCAGTCTTTTAGAAGATAATATCGGATAGGAACAAAGCAAACAGGAGCACAGCAGCTGCTGCAGCAGAGGCAGGACACGGTGGTGGCCCTGCCTGGGCTCTCTTGTGCCTGCCCCGGGCATGAGCCCTCCTGCCCTGCTGGATGCAGCTCCGACCTCCTCAGCATCAGTACTCACAGGGGAGCTCCTGCCTCCATACCCCATCCCCAACTGCAAACCCACCCCAGCGGCCCAGCTCAAAGCCTGTGCTTACCTGCAGCTGGCAGGGACCAGAAGTGTGTAAAACAAGAACCCCGCAGGTCCTCGGGTGACTGCTTAAGTATCTGCGTGTGTGTTTGACAGGCGGGGACCTGAAAAACCTGCCGCAAATCACAGGAGCTGCCGGGCTCCACAGCCGCTCTCTGGGCTGGTAATTCAGGTTTGGCACCCGCTCCCTTTGGCAGGGCTCCCCGCGCTCCGCGGCCGTGCGCTCCGCGGGCTCTCGGTGCCCGGCGGCCGTCGGGGCGCTCCCGCCGCGCTCGGGGCCCCGGCCGGGGCTGCTTCCTGCGGGGCTACAGGAAAGGTGCAGGCGGGGTGCGGCGGAAACTGCGCTTCGTGCGGCGGAGCTGCGGCCGAGCCCGTCCCGCCCGGCCGGGCCGCGTCCCGCTGCGCCGCTGAGAGCAGCCCGGGCGGATGGAGCCCGCCCCGCTCGCTGCTGCGCGGGGCTCGGGTCTCATCTCGCTGTGTGTCTTGCAAGGGATGTGTCCAGGTTTAACATTCCTGAGCCTGCTGTCACTTTGGGCAGCCCTGGGATAGCGCCAGGCTGGGTGTAAGGGCAGGACTGGGTCCTGGGTCTGTGCTGCTGCTGCTGCAGCAGCCCTGAGAGGCACAGCCTGCCTGGGGATGGGGAGGAGAGCAGGGCATCCTCTGCCAAAGCCGTCTCCTCGATGAAAGTGCCTAGGAGCCTGCCGTTCTCAGTATGGTGGTCTGGGAGCATTAGACAGCAGCTTAAAAAGAGGCATCTTGTGGGCTGGAGTGCAGTGGGGAGGGGCTGATTTTTCTCTCAGTTTGTAGACAGCTGGAAGGGGATGCTGGAAAATCAGAGAGGCTGAAGAAAGGGCTCATGAAAAATTGAGTATGGCTTGCAGTGGCTGAGATTATCTGCCAGAGCAAAACTCAAACTGGCACAGAATGCAAAAGCTGTGGAGCTGGCTGGAGCCAGAGGGAGGGAGCCTTGAGCCTGGGGAGAAGTGGATGGACAAACCCGGGCAAGAAACCTGCCATATGTTTAGCAGCGAGCCAAGACCATCCTTTAGAGGTTTTGTAATGCTGGGGGAAACATGGGCCAAGGCAAGGGGATTGCAAAGAGATCTGTGCCAAAGGACAGGCAGACCTGTGCCAGTTTTCCTAGCAGGATGACATTGATCAAGCAATATCAGGGGATAGCTTCAATGCCTGATAAACCAAATGGTGCTGTTCAGAGGCTGCCAGAGAAGTTTTTGGGAGAAGACTTGATCCTGCATGCCTTGGGCAGGCACCTGGCCAGAGGAATATGTCCTGTTTATCACTGGTGCTAAGCAACAGGAGCATGGCTAGCAATGGTTGCACACAAGAAGATTGGATGATGTGACCAGGGGATGGCTCCAGGAGCCGTGGCTGGGGGCATCAGGGTGGATTCAAGGAGGCTGGAGCAGACCCCTGCAGCAGGATTCAGCCTCAGATTTTAGCCCCAGAGTGGGAAAGTCCAGGCAGAGTTCCCAAACTGCATACCGACATGGCCTTGGGGGAGCTCTCAGGGGTATTGCTACTTATCTGCCCCCTGTCTGTGTTCTGCTCTGGCATCTGCTCTTGGCCAGCCTTGGTGACAGGACAGATGGGAAAATATTCTGATCCAGAAAGATTTTCCTATATTTGTATGCTGCCTTTTCTTTTCCTTCCGTGCATGTGCCCCGAGAGTTGCAAAATGTGAGTAACGTGACCTGCAGGAACAGGATAGGCTCCTCTCTTCCCTTGTTTATTACTGTCAACGGAGAGAAAGCCTTTAATGTGGAAAAACCCTTTTTCTCTTAGCCTGTGAACCCAGCCCAGGCTTGCACTGGGAGCACTGGCAGTGATGTGTTTCAGGCTGAGACACCCCATTGAAATGGTTCCAGAGGTGCTGGGAGTCCTGCAGTGACAGCGTGGAAGTCATGTCACAAATCTGTGCGCATCTGGCTAGCACATGTTAATGCTTCCCTGACCTTTTCTGAAATCTTTTACGCCCCATTTCTCCTCCTGGGAGAGGGTCGAAGTCTGCTGGAATTTATGCCTCACCTGATAAGAAGAGATCCTGTCCCAGAGGATGTCCTTTGTCAGCAGAATTAGATTGAACAGAAACAAAACAAAGGGTGCATCCAGGCCCATCACAGAGACTTTCTTCCTGTTGAGAGAAGAAGTACAGCTGTTGTGATGTACATGTGACTATTTTGTTGTGGCATTGCAGGGAGGGGTTGGCAGCTGCAGCTGCATTCAGCACCCCACTGCTCTGGACCCCCCCTGCAGAGGCTTGAATACCATCCATACTGCTCTATGGCCAGATACTGGCTGAGGTCACTTTTGGGGGCAAGATGGGGTGCGCATTCAACACACAGCTCATGCCCACCCTGGCCCAGTTGTTGTCCCTTTAACACTGCATGGAGACAGAATGGAAAAAAACGTGGAAAGGAGCGGGGGGAAGCAACTTGTCAAGCCATCAGAATGGGCTCTAACACAGCTTTTCCGACTTGATCATGTTTCCTCCTTTTCATGCATGTGTCTGTCTTGAATTTTGCCATGTTTTCTGTCCTGAAAATGAGGCTTAGCAGCAGCACCACTTGTCTATGGCTTAAGCAGAGATTTTCTTCCTTTTTCTGAGTATGTGAATTAAAAAATACATGCTTTCCATACTGCACCCCAACCCAAGTGGCAGAGAGACTGCAAAAGCTTTCTTTCTCCCTCTGAACACCCCAATGCAAAGGAGAACCTCAAAAGCCATCTTCTGTTTTGTTTACCAGTGGGGTTTTTTTCCTGATGTGTTGGGGTTTTCTGGCCGCTAATCCAAAAAAAAATGTGGCTGGAAACAAGGCTTTACAGAATATTTTGGCTTCCATTCAGTTAGAGAAGAGTTTTCTAACTAGTCAGTACTGACTCACAGGACAACTCTTGCAGTTAACCAGATGAGACTTCTACCTCCATACCCCACTTGCCCCATCACTGCATAAGAGATTGGTTGTTCTTCAGGGTGCAGCTGGCAATTGCCTTTGTTGGGCATCCCAACACACAAGAACATGACTGAGTCATTGTTCTTTTGATCCTTTTCTCCACAGGAGAGCAGCAACACTGGTTGCACCCCAAGAGCTAGCAGCACACAGTGCTTACCCACACCATGCCCTTGGGCAGGGGCAAGAGGAGGTGGGCACCGGTGGCTCCTGCTGCTGGAGCAGGGGTACTGGTCTGGGATCAGCAGCTGCCTCTTCTGCTCTCTCCTTCATGCATTTTCCTTTGGTTTTTGTGGGCAGGGTTCAGCCTGTCTCTCCTCAGCAGTAGAAGGGATCCAAACCAGACAGATACTAATCAGATGTGCCTTCCAATAAGATTCCTGCCTTTACTTTGTCAGTGGGATACTGTTGTGTGGATGGAAACTGCAGTGTTTTATTATTCCTCCCGTTGTTCCAGCGCTTCTCAGAGAACAGTGTCATCTCATTGGTATTTCCATGTGCAATCTCTGCCTGGGGTACAGTCTTCCTCCCTGCTCTCACTCTTACTAACCAGATTGTTTTGAAGTGACTAAACCGGGAGCTGATCCGTGCAGTTCCTTGCCGGGAGGATTTTCAGCAGCGCTGCCATGGCTTGTAGGCAGAGCGTGCTGCAGCACGCAGGGACAGCCGGCAGGGCATCGGCACACGGGGGAGCTGCCGCCGTGCCCAGCCCAGCAAAACACGGCCCAGCGCCGGTGAGAGGCTGGGAGGGAGGGCAGGGTAGTCCTGCAGACCCACCCTCTGCCCTGGCAGTGCCAGGGGAATGTGCCGGGGAGCGAGTGCCCTTCCACAGACTCGGATGGCTGCGCGTTCTCTAGGGAGCAAGTCAGGGAGATGGGGGCTCGAAAATGTCTGCTGAGATCTGTTCTGTTCTACATCTCTAGGCTGAAGCTGCCCAGAGAGCTTTTGGAGCTCCTGACTCAAATACTTCAGTGATCAAATACTTTAAGGTCAATGAAGGGACTTTATCCCTCCCCAGAGCAGGGATGAGCTCTGTCCAAACACTTGCTTGCCACCACGGCTCTCAGTTGTAGCAGGAATGCTACCCTGAAGACCAGCTTCAAGGCTGAGCACGGGTCCTGACCATCCCATGACTTTGCTCAGCCTTCACCATGAGGGACAAGGACCAATTTTCCCCTGTGCTGTCCCACGCCAGGGAGCCCACAGGTTCCTGGCCCTTGTGCCCCCCTCATGGCAGCAGTGCCAAGCAGCTGGCAGCCCGTGGTTTCTGTTGGACCAGTCTGGGCAGGCACCTGTGGAGGGGTGGCTCTGGTGCCACCAGCTGCTGGGCATTGCCACAGCCATTGAGCAGGATGGGCCATCTCTGTGACACACACCACAGTCCCTGTGCCACCTGTGGTGTCCTGTGACACTGGCAGACAACTAGAATGACTCACAGAGTGACAATGAACCAGGAAGGAACATATTGGAGACTCTGCTCCACCTGCTGGGTGTCAGGGAGTGGCTTCAAGGGCCCTAAGCAATTAAATTTAAAATTCTTGTTTCCTTTAGCAAGCTGGTTGCTAAAGAGAGCTCCTGGGAAGCTGGCACTGACAAAGGATGCTAGCTGCCCACAGTCTTCTCTACACAGCTGGCCACAGCTGGGGACAACTGAGTGAGCACAACAGAAGCACTCACAGATGCCTTCCTCATTGCTCTGACAGCCTCATTACCACCCCAGGAAGCAGGTCACCCTCACTGGGACATCCCCTGCTCCTGGGATCTCCCCCTGCTCCTGCCCTGGGGGCTCAGGCGCTCCATGTGAGCAGGTTGTTTGTGTCTGGTGTGCCTGGCAGAGAGGGTGTAGGAGGGTGCCCTTGCCTGTCTCTCAGGGTATGGTGCCTGGGCTGGTGGATGGGGGTGCTTTCCAAGGAAGGAGTACGGGAGCAGGGTGCAGCGCTGCACAGGCAAGCAGCTGGAGAGTGCTCAACCCATGGGAGAGCCCAGCAGGCTCAAACAAGCACAAACAGCCTCGGAAACCTGAGCTAAGCCATACCTGCATCGCTGCTTAGGGAAGTCACACTCTTGTCACAGCACGCCTTTTAGCACCTTGTCCTGCTGGAGGAAAGTGGTTTGGGGGACACCCAAGGCTGGGGGCCAGTTCCCATCAGTGGTGAGGGCAGGTTCTGGAGGCTCACTGCCAATGTGAGGCTGTTTGAAGCAGGAGGAAGGCTTCTGGCACCGGCATAGGATTGCTCTCATGTTGCTCCAAGTGTCTGCGTGCCAGTCTCTGGG